ATCTTGTAGTATTATATTACAAAAATATCATTGGACTAGAAAATGGAAGACTCAAGTTAGGGCCTGCACTTTGTTCTAATTAGTTATATAACCTTAAGCAAATAATTTCAGCAGACCTCAATTACTTTGTTGAAAATAAAGGAGACTTAGACCAGATAATTTCTTAGACATTACTCAGGTTTAAAAATAAATAAATAAATAATGATTCTGATTCTCTTTTGTCACTATCTCAGCTGTTCTTTCACTTTAAAAATATTTAATTTTTCACCCTTCTACTCTTTTATTCTTTCTTGTTTCAAACTCTCCAATCTTACTGTTATTTTTTCTGCCATTTTATTTTTTCCAGCTCTTTGTCCTCCTCTACTTTTATGGGTCCTGTTAGTCCTCTATAGTTTTTTCTCTTCTGGGGTAATTAAGACTATCCATACAATAGATGCCTTGGATATTAAGGTATCTATTAAGAAAACAAAAGTGGTCACCTTAATGCAAAATTTTACCCTTTCTAGAAAAACACATTAATGTAACATAATGCAAGCATTTATAGTCCAGAACTGTGCCTAACATAAAATATTTTTAAAGTCTTTTATGTTTTGCTTTCTGAATGATTTTTTTATTTTTCATTTTGCTTTCTTACTTTGTTTTATTTTATCTAAACAGAGAACGGACATTCTTTGAAGTCTAATCACGATCACTACAGATGAACCCAATGTACCAACTTCCCAACTATAGACTATTAGAAGATTTTTACATTTTGAAGAAGGGGATCAATGTATATATAAAAATTTGGTTGAGCTACTAAGAATTAAAATATGGTGGGATTACATTGATTTGGAACTTAAAATAGATGTGTAAATTGGGGTGAAGTTATAGGCCTGAGTTCATTTCAGCTTGGGTGTATGAATAATTTTCAGGTCACCTAAAGTTTAAAAAGTAATATTCATGATTTTGTGACTTGAGACGTATTACTTTTCTGCTCATAAAACATCAAAAATATTGATAACTATTACTGTTATCACATATCTGTTAGAGATTATCAAGAATATAGTAGGTAATGCAGTGGTTCCCAAGGGTGAACTCCAAAACTACAACTGCTGACAATAATTTTGCAAATATAATGACTTTTAGTCCCAGAGTGCAGTGGAAGTATTTAGTTTCTATTTTTATGGCCAAGTTTTTCTGCCTTGCTTTCTTTATAGATACCAAATCCATTCTGATGTTCTTTTGAATGTTTTGTAGCTTTAATCTGTATTTAACTTTGGTCAATTTGAGAATTTCAATTTTCATTAGCTTTGAAAATGTCTTAATGCTAACTTCCATTTCAGCTCAAAAAGAGCCACAATAGTGGTTTTACTGGTCACAAGCCAGTAGACTGTTTCTATCAGGATGTCCCTACATATCAAGGTCAAATTGACCAAATCAGGAAAGAACATTTTCCAATTTAGAGTCCTTGTGAAATCCTTGCTTAAATCTAACTTATTTCCTCTGAACCACCCAAGACTTCTGGCTAGGAGGAGAGTGAACAGTGATGTAAAGAAGAGAGACTCTTTAGCGTTTTCACATAGTTCATGGTGAGGACAACATTTTACTCTCTGAAAAAAAGACCACCTATTTGTTCTATGAATTCAGCATACTAAGTGTACTGTGTTGCTCATACTTAAACCAGACAAAGCTTCTGTTTGATGAACCTTAGTAATATTCAAACTGAGGATACATATGAATCACTTATACTTGGCTTTTATTCATAGTTTGAGTGTAAAAAAAAAAGTAGAAGACAGAAAAATGTGTCCTTTTTCCCCTTTATTAACTATAAACAGATGCCACAGATATGGGAAATCAAAGTGGGAAATTATGAAAAGATATTATTTAATTCCTACCAGCTGAATGCATATTTAATGTGTCAAGGCTGTGCTAAAATATAAAAAAATTAGATGGAGATAGTGGTTGAAGTTTTTTGTTTTTTAATGAGTATATTTTTAATGGGAGCTCTGGTAGCATAGTGCCTAAGGCACTTGACTGCTAACCAGAAGGCTGGCGGTTCAAACCCACCAGCCACTCCTCGGAAGGAAGATGGGGCAATCTACTTCCGTAGTGATACTGCCTCGGAAACCCAAGGAGGGGTCGCTATGAGTCGGGTCCGACTCGATGGCACATAACAACAACAACAACAACATATTTTTAATAAAGGTTTAAGAACCAATTATAAATTACACTTCAATAATATATAGGAATGTGGTTTCTTTATAAGTGAATGCTTCCATTTGGATGCAATTGAAGATAATAGGTTTCAACCAATTAATTCCAAGTATGAAGTTTTTGAAAGCATAAGATGTGTCAATCACATAATTTGAAGAATATATAGGAGCTGACAACATACAATGGTCTATTTGTATGCAATTTTTGTTTTCAAATGAATAATACGTAATTCATTTATTTGATGATCTTAATTTATAAGTTAAGATCAGGTTCATTTAAATTTTAAGGCATTTCAATGCATACATGGTAGAATCTTTAAGAAAAAAACAAAATGAGCAAATATTTCATAAATCTATAAATCTTCAGAGAGAAAATAGGTACAGGAATAATTTGTTTTCAGGCATTACGTTCCTTGAGTGACAGAAAAAGTTGTATTAACACAATATTCCTCATTATATTCTATTACTACTATAGTTAGTTTTTGATATATTTATTCTTTTATGGTTTTAATCACTAATATATTTCATTTAAGAGTTTGAAAGAATGCTAAATGAATTGTATTTTTATATGTAATACATTTGCTACTATGAAGAATGGTTTGGTATGCCATTATTTCAAGAAATATATCTGAATTTATTGTATCAGTTTTAAAAATGTAAAATTCAAAAATTTAATTTTATATATGACATAAATTGAACACATTTTCTATACTGCATTTAGTTTATTAATTTCCTATGTTATGTATCTACAAGTATTTTTCATTTGGCATTTATTTTTTTTAATGTGTTAACAATGTATGAGTTGAACTTTTTACACATAGATTCTTGATTTGTAGCTGCTTGGCAAGATTTTTGTTATGATGTAACCACCTTCCTATAAAAAAAAAATATGATGTGCATTTGTCTTGTGTATTTGTCTTCATTCCACATGTCTCATAGTATATATTTTTATATGAATCATTTATAAGTAATAATAATGTGCAAGTCTGTGATCATCTCTTTCACCATCAATGTCTTCAACAAATAGATATAATTTATCCTTATATTCAGATACTCGAAAGCAAATTCTCATTATAATGTAAGACAGATAAGTTCTTAACAATTATAATTATTTTGCCTTCAGATAACATGAAATAGTAATTTTAACTGTCTTTTGACATATTGTTTTGATTTTATTTGATTCTGTTGTTGTTGTTGTTGTTATATGCTGTCGAGTGGGCCCCGACTCATAGCGACCCCTCCTTCGGTTTCCGAGGTAGTATCACTACGGAAGTAGGATTGCCCAACCTGATTCTAGTCTACATTTTATTTGTGGGGCTGAAATTTTCAGTTTCTGAGAACCTAATTTAAGGAGCCCTGCTGGTACAGTGGGAGCTCTAGTGGCATAGTGCCTCAGGCATTTGACTGCTAACCAGAAGGCTGTAGGTTCAAACCCACCAGCCACTCCTCAGAAAGAACACTGGGCAATCTACTTCCATAGAGATACCACCTTGGAAACCCAAGGAGGAGGGGTTGGTATGAGTTGGAACTGGCTCGACAGCAGTGAGTTTGTGTTTGGGTTGCTGGCACTCGGCTACTAACTGAAAAGTCAGTGGTTCCAACTCACCAGCTCCTCTGGAGGAGAATGATGTGGTAGTGTGACATAAACACTTAGAGCCTTGGAAACCCTGAGGCAGCTCTACTCTGTCCTATAGGATCACTATTAGTTGGAATTAGCTCCGTGGTAATAGAGTTGGGAGTTGGGGAACCTAATTTACTATAAAACATTAGGAATTCTTCAGAAGATAATACTTTCAATTACAATAACTACTATTTATCAAGAACTAATCATTTCCACACACTACCCAATTAATAAATGCCACAGCCATAAAATAGGTATTAAGACGTTTTTACAGATGAAGAAAGTGAAGGGCAGAGTTCATGTACTTTCCCATGATAATAGAATTAGGACTCATACCTAAGTCTGGTCTCATTCCACTTTTAAACACTTTTATGCTATCTCTCTGTTACGATTTTTAATATATCTGTTTTAGTCCAAATAATTAATTTGTGGTTGTTTTATGTCCTTTATTATTAATCCCCATGCAATTCCATTTCTTTAGGCATGCCACAGCAAAGCAAATAATAATAATATAATTGAGCATTAAAATGTGTCTTTTCTTTTAGCCAGAAACGTTTGAACACCTTTTTATCAAGCACGCAGAATCATTGACATTTGGTCCTCTTCTTTTGGAGCCTGAAACCATTTCAGAAGATATCAGTGTTGATGCATCAGGGAAAAATAAAGATGAGGTGGCGTCAACTACTATGGTCTCTCTACTTTTGACAACTCCTGCCCTTGAAAAACGTTCTGTTTGTATTAGTGACCAGTGCCACAGTGCTAATTCCTCTGAGGCTGAGAGCACCAGGATGACCTGTGAGGATGAGAGCCAGAGACAGCCCTCTGTAAAATACGCCACACTTCTCAGCACCCCTAAATCAAGTGAAACTGATGAAGAGCAAGGGCTTATAAATAGTTCAGTCAGCAAGTGCTTCTCTAGCAAAAATTCTCTATTGAAGGACAATTCCTCTAGTAGCTCATGGGAGATGGAGACCCAGGCATTTTTTATATTATCAGATCAAAATCCCAATATAATTTCACCACACCTTACATTTTCAGAAGAATTTGATGCACTTTTCAAACTGGAAAGCAATTTCCCTGAAGAAAATAATGAAAAAAGGTCTGTCTATTATTTAGGGGTCACCTCACTCAAAAGAAGAGAGAGTGGGGTGTTTAAGACTGATGAGTCGAGATTGTTGTGCGCATTCCCAACCCACAGTTTGTTCACTGACATCAAGATTCTTCAAGACAGTTGTTCACACTTTATAGAAAATAACTTCAACTTAGGAACTTCTGTTAAGAAGACATTTGTTTCTTACATGCCTCAATTTCAGACTTGTTCAACTCAGACTCAGATGATAATGGAAAATAAGATGTGTGACCTGACCGCGTAATTTCATTCAAAAAACCATTCAGCCTTATGCTATAATGAATCATATAAAGTGTAGTATATTCCATTTTAGTTGTGGATAGGGGAGAGAAAAGAAAGCTGTCAGAGTTGAATTTGAAACTCCCAAAATCAGTGGTCCTTTCTCAGGAGTAAAGATAAACAACATGAGAAAGACTTCATGAGTCTAGCAATGTAGATGGGCTCTTCTAGTAATTTTCTTCACAAACCAGAATAGGAAAGTCTCCAATCAGTGGCGTCACTACAGGAGTAAAGGGGGGTATGGACCACACTGAATGACACTGTCAGATGGGGTGATACCAAAATGACTGTCTATAAATTTCTGTGCAGTGTTTCAATAGAAATTATTTTAAATAAAAATATCCTTATATAGTTAGTTATAACAACAAAAACATTTTTCATAAGCCCACTTACATGTATCAATATACCTACAAGGCTAAAAATCTGCTAATATACTTTTTGAACATTCTAATGTGCTCCAGTCAGAGCTGTCATTATTACCCAAATACAATCACACTTTGAATCAAGTGGTTTCATTTGCATATGCTAAAAGCACACAACTGTTTTTGTTACTGCCAGTGTATTTATGGCCATGGATTTTGTCAGATTTTCTGGTGTTTTAGCTACAATGTTGTGGTAATTAGTATTTGTGAACCTATATTAATAACTCTCTTGAGAATGGAGTAGTAATTGAAGGAGAAAAATCAAAAAAGGTTTCTGCTCACGTACAAATAAGGTTGTAACTAATGTAATTCAATGTAGAAAGATTTTACAAAGCAATTTGTTCTTAGTATTCGTATCATCCAAGAAGTATTACATTTAAGCAATTTACAACTATATTTTTCACATATTATTCTATAATTAAAATTGATAATGAAAACTATGGATTCTATATAGTCTGGTATGAGAGGAGGTCCTTGGGGGTAGTGACACCATGAATTACCTGACTGGGTGACACCAACCCTAGTGATGCCACTGTCTCCAATGGCTTGTTTCTAGCTAAAAACAAGCCCAGCAAATACTATCTCTTGTGAGCATTAAGTCTGTGTAGAAAAAGCTAATCTGAGTTATACTTAACATCTGCAACAAGACTTTAACCTTTCTGAGCTGTCACTTTGTTTCAGGTGTGGTTGTTTTATGTTCAATTGCCTTTGTTTTACACATATTTTACACATACACACACACACTGATTTGTGGCAAATTGATATCCTTGTGCATTTTAAAAGTATGTGATATATTTATTTTATGCTACTAAACTGTGATTTGAAGTTATTTCAATTCAACAAACTTGGTGTGGGCACTTACTCTGTGGTAGGCACTCCATTAAATGTTGAAGATAAAGAGAAGATTTAAGTCTGGTGTAAGGAGATATACTTATGAAGACAGACAGTTAGTTGTATACCAAATCTAAGATATGCATCATAAGATGAAACTGCCTCTCAAAACGACAACACCCAAAATCATTGTTTTGAAGGCAACACAAGACCTTTTGAAGGCATACTGTCTGCCTTACTCTTCTCTAGAAAAGATAATGAAATTGTCAATTTTTAACAGGTTACCAAATACCAATGTATATCACTCTGGAATCATTGTCTTCCCCCATCCCTACTTCTCCAGGTATATGTCACTGTGCTAAGACTTCATATATTTTAATATACATTTAATATCACATACGGGGGCTCTGGTGATGTAGTACCTAAGGCATTTGACTGCTAACCAGAAGGCTGGCAGTTAAAACCCACCAGCCATTCATTCCTTGGAAGGAAGATTGGGCAATCTACTTCCGTAAAGATTTACCGCCTGGGAAATCTAATCGGAGTCACTATGAGTCAAAATCAACTGAATGGCAATGGATTTAGTTTTGGTTTTTTATCCCTTTTAAAGATTAAGTGATTAAGTAACTTGTCCAAGTTCATGGAGTGAGTGGGTGATGGAGCAGAATTTAAATTTGAACTCAGATTTCTTAAACCTCAGTGACTGTGTTTCTATACAATACCTTATACTGTCATCAATAAAAATCTGATTTATAATAAAAAAAAATTCTTAAGTATAAATATGATGCTAGAAGAAAACTAAGTAAGAACTACATGAATTTTATCCTTATCTTTAAATCAGTGCAGAAGTTTATTGTTTCAGCATTTGGTGTGGCAAGAAAACTCAAAACCAGCATACTGGGCAAAAACTAAATCAAGAAACCTGCAAACCTAGATGTTCAATAGCAAGAAGGAAGGATTTCAATATTACTAGTATCATCAAAATAAATAATTCAGTGCTCAGAAATAGGACTCTTTGTTGCTAAACATCACCAAAATTGCATGTTTAGACTGAGAGAAGATTCTGCTGATTTTACTGTTCCCCTAAATAAAGCCCTACACCTCATCTCTGTTTCAATTAACTATATGTACAGAGAAGTTCTAAACAATGACAAAAGATCTCAGACCCCAGTTGATAAATATCTTTTCACATGTCATGATCATTTGTGACTCAGAAATCAATAAGCCTGCTTCATATTGTCGAAATGTCTCAGGATCTCAGAGATTCAACTGATAACCCTCTACGAAAGAGAGGTAGAAGGCTCATATCAACTAACTGAATAAAACTGTGACATGAAAGCCTTAGTTCCATACAAAGACAAATGGAGTTTTTCATGGATTCTTAAGTGGCTTAAAGATTGAGTAACATGAAATAAATTGTGTAGATACAAGTCTTATTAAGTTGTTCGCCATCATTTTTAAGGTATGTTCATAGAGTATCCTGTTGCCATCAAGTCGGTTCTGACTCATAGAGACCTAATGGGACAGAGCAGAACTTCCCCCACAGAGTTTCCAAGGACATCATCTTTACAGAAGCTGACTGCCACATCTTTCTTCCAAGTAGTAGCTTGTGGGTTTGAACGGCTAACCTTTCAGTTAGCAGTCAAGAACTTAAACACTGCACTATGAGGGTTCCTCCTCACAGAGTATCTAAAAAAAACCAAACTCACTACTATCGAGTTGGATCCAACTTGTAGCAACCCCTCCTTGGATTTCCATAGTGGTATCTCTACAGAAGTATACTGCCCAGTCTTCCTTCCAAGGAGTGGCTGGTGGGTTTCAACCACCAGCCTTCTGGTTAGCAGTCAAATGACTTAGGCACTGTGCCTTGTAGCCTGGGGCCCAGAAAATCAGGAAAGAGAAAAGGATAGATATTTCCATCAGCCCAATCGCATGCCATGCTATGTGTCCTCTGGTATAAATTTGGAAGTCCCAGATCCACTGCAGTGCTGCAGGTCAAAGGAATTTCATGACAATGTGTTAACCTGAGATATTGATATCCATCCTGGTGCAGATTCAGTGCCCCAAAACAAAAGACAACACAGAAATATTGAGAGTCCAAGGGAATTTCATGGAGAGGGCTAAGTTGGTAAAGTTCGGCCTATTGGTCTATATTGATTTTGATGGTATTTGTCAATGAACTTGTGTTCTGATTTTCACCTTTGAAAGTTCACTTCATTATTCATATTATTATTTTGGGTACTTATGAAAATTGGTTGCCATTCAATGGGCATTTTCATAAAAAATTATGGGAAATTTCTAAGGCTAAACACTTCTGAATGGTCAAATACTCATCTTTCTTCTCAGGGTTTCTGTAAAAAACAATTGGAGAGAGGGAAGATCTGTAATATGACATTTGCATTTTAAATGTATAATAAATATGGAATTTTGAATATTTAATCTAAAGGGCTTACATTGCAACAGAAGCTGCTAATGGGTCTCTCTAAATCTCAACTTCATGAAAAGATGCTCAGAAATTTATAGTTTCAATTGTGGTTTCAAGTTAAAACAGATTGTTTGAAGAGAAATCATTTGTCAAGATTAGCAGGAGGAAGGAAAAAGATTGAGGCCTACTTATCAATAATAGTAGAGGCCTTCTGTTAGAGAACTCTGTTCCTGATTAGAGACAACCCACATATTGACAGGAGGTATGGGAATAGATATTCTTTCATTTTCAAACTGAGCCCTCAAGTAGTCAAAGGACTTGGACAAAGTTCCAAACGAGTGGGAGATCCTGGACCAAGAATAAGGTTTCATGACTAAGCATGACATCTTCTATAACCTCTCGGTCATTTCCAATAAAGCAAAGCCCCTCTTTCCAAATAACAAGCACATGGTTACATTCCTTTAGGTTAACAAATTCTTTAAAGTAGTAATTATTGAGAAAGCACATTCTGAAACTATAAAACATAAAGTTAAAATTATCCGTTCAACTTGATTAAAATGAACTGCATTGGAGGGAAATAAAATAACTATAGTTACCAAAAAAGATGTAAAGAACTATCTATGAAAAAAAACTAGATAAGTCAGTAAATTTGCTCTTTATTGAACAACTGTTTTAAAATTGTAAAGCACTCTTCTGCACTTGATCAAATGTTGGGGAAAAACTTAAAATATGAAGTTTGTGTTAGAACTGAGCTATTGTTACATTTACTTGTAAGAGTATCAAAAATGATTTTAATGGATTTTTATATTGAATGAATTATTTTTATACAAAGTTTATCAATATTTATCTTGGAAAGCTGCTGAAGATGCCTATTTTTCAAAATGCTAAAGGTGTATAACATTAAACTCACTTTCATGAGGATCTTTGATGGGATATTTTAAAAAATATGTGCATTCAAGAAACCTGGAATTGAGAAACCATTTGGAAGATAATTTTATAGTGAAATATGATACTTATATTGTAGCTATTGTACTTTTAAACCAATCATTAAGTATTTGGCACATAGTTAACACTTTCTCTTTAGTCATAGTTGGTTTGTTAATAAATGTGATAGACATAAATGTTGAGATGTGTGTATCACTAATTGTTCTGTAAAATATAATTACCCTAATTCTCCTTAATGTCCCAAGTCATAGAGAAAGCAGTGTAAGTTATGTTGTGAATATTTTCATCTTTTTTTTTTTTAAAAAAAAATTAAGGATCAGAGTAATGTCAGAATTTTGCGAA